TCGCTCTGGGTGACGACGGACCAATGAGCCACGGGTGTCACGGCACTTTGAGCCCTGTTCGTTTGCTCGGCCTCGCGGCGTTGGAGATCGCCCTCGCCTCGTCCCCCCCCCCCCCCCCTTCCCAAAGCTAGCGGGCATCGTGTCATTTGAGGGTTGGGTTTCGCGTCTGGTACATAGCAACGGGCTGCAGATTAGTGCATGTCCATCCGCCTAGCTACCTTGCATGGATAGGCACAAGTAATGTACCGTACGTGGGGAGGTGGATGGATCGCCGTGCTATCAGTACTGCAGCCTATTCTGTTCATCTCCATGTTCGTCGCAGAGGCAGATAGGCTGGTCAACAAAGCCAATCGATTGCGTGAGAGCACCGCACATGGGATTGGAGACGAAGGATTGCGATGCCGACTCGCCAAGGTCCCTCGGAACTCCTACTGTCAAGTGGCCATGCCGACGTCACCTGGGGTCTAAGAGGGGACTTGTGTGTTTCAGCTCCTGGGACATGGGATCCTTGGAATTAAAGCTGTGACCCACCACCATCTGTCCCGTCCATCCACACTCACCCTCTCTCCCTACCCTCGCTCCCAAGCAACCAGAAACGGCTACCAAAGCAACGGCGGCAATCCAACCAGACACCCTTGTTACTGCCCATCGCCCATCGCATGCCCGCCGTCATCTGCTACGAATTTCATCTTCATCAGCTTGAAACCCCGAGAAGGCGCGCCCCCCCTAATCGAAAGGGCCTCCCGCTGCCGCATCTCTCTGGTACCACCCGACCACCTTTGACCCTCCTCGATCCCCCATCGCATGACTACTTCTCTCCAACCGACACGATCCACCGGCATCAAGTCGCATCAAGTCGCATCGCATCCGATCCGGCTCCGTCTCAAGAAACCTGGCAGGGACCCTGCGCACGAGTGGCCGGCTTGTCGCACATACACACGTAGCCCTCTCGTCGCAACCTCGGACACCCCCTCCACCCAGCTGCGGCGCGCCAGCTCGAGAACAATCAACCCCATTGACGGACGACTTCTAGGGAGCACACCGACAGACAGCGCGCACAACGCAGCAATTCAAAGACGATCAGAGTACACACACGGCCCATTGGCCTCAAACACACGTTCCCCAGATCGTCTTGTCACACCCACACCCCCCCCTGTGAACCATGGCGTATAATCGTTTAGGCGAGTAGGAAACTTTCCTAACCTTTCGTATTCCCTTGACCCGTTTCCCACTCTCAATATCTTGAGAAAGCGTCTCCATCATCACCTGTCCACACTTCACCGAAACCCCACCCACCTCTGGACGCCGCCTTCGTCCTTGTGAATCCAACAGACAGTAGGGCTGTCTCTGTGTTCATCCTCGTGATCCAACTGTCACCAGTCGCCTTCGCCTCTGGAACATCTGCATGCTACTTGTCACTCCACAAATCTAATATCCGCGCTCTACAGACGACGATTTCTACAACGACCGTGTACGGCGTTCACCTTCACCAGGCCACCCCATGCAGCAAGGCTACCAGCTAGACGACCGTCCCTATGGGCGACCAGAGCAGCTCGACTACCCTCAGACGGGTCCGTCTCCTGGCTCTGTGCCCGGCAGATATGGTACTCCGAGCGACCAGCTTCAGCTGAACGCCGCCGTGAGTGCGACATGTTCACTTTTCAGGCAGCACCAGATGAGCTAACCGTCATTGCCCCTCTAGCAATCAGTAGACAACCTCAGCAGGAACAGCCCCTTCGCTGACCCCCACCAACGAGGCCCGTACCAGACAGATTACGCTGTCAACCCCGAGGCTCATCACGATGCCTACTACAATCAGCCCTACGAGCCTACGCCCATGGAGGGCACGCCGCTTGGCTACGACCCCGGCCAGCCGGGCTACGACCACGACGACCTGCGGCCGATGCTGCCCCACCAGGACTCCCACGCGAGTGAGCCATACCAGGACCAGCCCACGCCGCAAGGCGCTGGCGGCGGCATCAAGAGGTGGAAGACGGTGAAGCAGGTTCTGTTGTACCGGGGCAACCTCGTACTCGACTGTCCTGTCCCCCCCAGACTGCTGAACCAGCTGCCGCACGGCGAGCGTGATGAGTTTACGCACATGCGATACTCTGCCGCAACGTGTGATCCCGACCATTTCTACGACGAGAACTTTACTCTTCGACAGAGACTCTTCTCGAAACCGCGACATACTGAGCTGTTCATTGTCGTCACAATGTACAACGAAGATGAGATTCTGTTCGCGCGCTCCATGATTGGTGTCTTCAAGAACATTGAGTACATGTGCAACCGCAAGGAGAGTAAGACATGGGGCAAGGACGCCTGGAAGAAGATTGTCGTCTGCGTCGTCAGCGACGGTCGGTCCAAGATCAACTCCCGCACTCGTGCGCTCTTGGCCGGTATGGGCGTGTACCAAGAGGGCATTGCAAAGCAGCAGGTCAACGGCAAGGACGTGACGTCTCACATCTACGAGTACACCACCCAGGTCGGCATGCGCATCGAGAAGGGTGTGGTTCAGCTTGTCCCGAAGCAGCAGCCCGTTCAGATCCTGTTCTGCCTCAAGGAAAAGAACCAGAAGAAGATCAACTCGCACAGATGGTTCTTCTCTGCTTTCGGCAGAGTCCTCGACCCCAACATTTGCGTGCTTCTCGATGCTGGTACCAAGCCGGGCGGCAACTCGATCTACCACCTCTGGAAGGCGTTCGACCTCGAGCCCATGTGCGCTGGTGCATGTGGTGAGATCAAAGCCATGTTGGGTACCGGTGGCAAGAACCTGCTCAACCCCCTGATCGCCACACAAAACTTTGAGTACAAGATGAGTAACATCTTGGACAAACCCTTGGAATCGGCCTTTGGTTTCATCTCCGTCTTGCCCGGTGCCTTTTCGGCGTATCGCTACGTTGCGCTGCAGAACGACAAGAACGGTCAGGGCCCCCTGGAGAAGTACTTCGCTGGCGAAACGCTTCACGGCTCTGACGCGGGCATCTTCGAGTCCAACATGTATCTGGCCGAGGATCGTATTCTCTGCTTCGAGCTAGTGACCAAGCGCAACTGTCACTGGATTCTGCAGTACGTCAAGTCGGCCACGGGCGAAACCGATGTTCCGGATACGGTCACAGAACTGGTTCTGCAACGACGACGATGGCTCAACGGTTCATTCTTCGCCGCCATCTATGCCATTGCTCACTTTTACCAATTCTTCCGCTCAGACCACTCCTTCCTCCGAAAGGTCATGCTGTTCATCGAGTTCATCTTCCACACCATCAACATGGTCTTCGCGTGGTTTGCCGTTGGCAACTTCTTCCTCGTCTTTAGTATCTTGACAAAGAGTCTCGGCGGCGATGAACTCCTTGGTAGGACCGGTGAGATTCTTGGCGTTGTCTTTACATGGCTGTACGGCGTTGCGCTCTTCACTTGCTTCGTCCTCAGTATGGGTAACCGTCCGTCCGGCTCGAGGTGGTACTACACAACCATGGTGTACTTCTGGGCGATCATCATGGTGTAAGTTTTGATGCGAGCTTGTCACTCACCAGTCTCCCAGCTAATCACTCGTACAGATATCTCATGTTCGCGGCCATTTTCATTGCCGTCAAGGCCATTATCGCAGACGTCAACGACGGTACCCCTTTCAGCTTGGGTGAACTGTTTAGAAACCCTGTTTTCTACACGCTGATCGTCTCCGTCATGTCGACGTACGGTATTTGGTTCCTTGCGTCGTTCCTCATGTTCGATCCCTGGCACATGTTCACCTCGTTCGTCCAATACATGTTGCTCACGCCAACCTACATCAACATCCTCAACGTCTACGCCTTCTGCAACACGCACGATATTTCCTGGGGTACCAAGGGCGACGACCAGGCAGAAAAGCTGCCCTCCGTCAGCACGAAGGACGGCTCCGGCAAGACAGACCTGCCTGATGAGTCGGATCTCAACGCCCAGTACGAACGCGAGCTCACCGCCTTTGGCTCCAAGCCCATCAAGGTGGTTCACACCCCGACAGAGGCACAGAGAGCAGAAGCTCAGATGGACTACTACCGCGGCGTCCGTTCCATCACGGTCCTCGCCTGGATGATTACGAATTTTGGCCTCGCGGCTGTCGTTCTCAGTGCGGCCGGCCTCGACCGCATCGACCCAAAGAACAAAACCGCCGAGGAAGAAGACCCAAACGCCAGGGCCAACATCTACATGACTGTTGTCCTGTGGTCCGTGGCCGGCCTGTCGGCGTTTAAGTTCATTGGCGCCATGTGGTTCCTGGTCGTGCGCATGTTTAGGGGCGTGTAAGATTTTGGTCTTCTTCTCCTTTCGATTCTGTACACGCAGGTTCTTCTCCCTTTTTCTTCTTCCTGCTTCATTCTGGAGACCAGAAGAATGGGGTTTTTTTTTTTTTTTGGCTGTTTTGTTTGATTTTGTTTTGTTTCAGTTGCTTCATTCATGACTGGGCGTGGACAATACCCGAGACGCGGCGAAAGAAAGAGAGACACAATCGCAAAAGGGGGGGCCACTCTCCCGTCTCTCAACGAACATTACACGGTGCATGACGAAAGATGAAAGAAAGCGCACGCTTGTTGATTGTTTACAGAGGAGGATCGAGTCAGGGGGACAAGAGAAAAACACGAAGGACTCGATGGATTGGATGAACGGGGGGGAGGGGGGATTTGAGTAAGCTTGTTGTTGTACCTTAGCTGTTCTGGTTGTCTAGTAGTCCGGCTTGACGCCTGGGACTGGGTTTATGAAGAAATCAAAATCAAAGACTCGGCTCCCTTTTCGTGAATGCTGTCTTGATTGTTGATGTATTGACGAATGGTTCTCGCACATATGTCTCTCTCCTAGTGTCTCGCTCGCGTCAAGAGGGATTACATAGTCACAGCATGGCGAGAATCACACGACGGCCGCATTCTCCATGGTGGTTTTTTAACCGCCTCATCCACGCCGACTGACGGCATACCTGCAAACGTTGGGAAGACTGGGTGTATTGGGAACTCGGCGCGCAGACCCCGCGCCTAAGACGCCACCTCCCTTCCCAGCGTGTTCAACTCCTGCTCCAAGAACGCCTGGGCGTTGAGCAGGTCCGTGGACCCGTACACGACCCTCTTCCGCGCGCGATCGCCGCCCGTCCGCGCGACCCACTCCTGCAAGTTGCCGTACTCGTCCATGCTGCCGCCGCCGACGGTGAAGACGATGGCCTCGGAGAAGCCCTGGCGGCGCTGGCCGAAGCTGGCGCCCGTGCCGGCTCCGGGGCCACCGGGACCGCCCTGGCCCGGAAGACCGCCGGGGAGGGCCGAGCCGGGGCCGCCAGCGCGCACGGAGCTGGGCGGGGGCATGGTGCCGCGGGCGTTGGCGGAGCGGGGATCAAAGTAGAGGTAGTTTTCCGTTTTGGCGATGGCCGTGCTCGAGGCCGTCGAGGGGTCCATGATGCTCTCGATGATTTTGGTAATGGTGAAGTCGCGATCGGCGGGCAGGAACGTCTTGATGCCGCCGATGAGCGACTCAAAGTTGGAGGAGAGACCCGTGGGTACGCCGCTCTCCTTCAGTCGGTCGGTAAGACGGCTGGATATGGACGAGAAGCGGCCGAACAAGTCGGTGCTGCCGGCCTGTTGGGGCGACGGGTTGTTGATGGTGGTGAGGTTCGTCAGCTTTGTCGTCGATTTCAGTCTTGCAAATGTCAGCAAAAGCCCTTCCACGACGATGAAAATTGAGAGACAAGCGCCATGGGTAGATGACGTACTGTCGAATATATGGCAGACACTCGACGTCCGCGCCCGCGGCCGCCAGCGCTTCGACGAAGCCCTCCCACTCCGTTCGACTCAGTTCGGCCTGTTCCGAGTTGGAGCTCAGGAAGAAGTAGATGAAGAGTCGCAGCTTGTCGGCGGCTTGTCCCTCATCGCTCTTGATGAGCTCCATCATTTGCGCCTTGGTCTGCTTGGTGATGTTCTCCTCGAGCTGGAAGTAGTTGTCTAGCTGCCGATCTTTAATGCCGGTGAGAAGAGCAGCCAAGATATTCATGTGCATATCCAGCACGGCCTTGCGCTCTCGCAGTTCGGGAAGTAACGTGATGGCAGCTTTGAGGTGCTGCGCACTGGCGCTCGTATCATTTTGCAGGTCTTCGAGATCGGACACACCGCTGTCGACACAGTTAGCAGAGAACTCGAAACAAATGATCCCGCTGTACTGACGTCTTGGCTGTGATTTGCGTGGCCTCTTCCTTGTACTTCGTCAATTCAGAATCAATGTCTTCGGCGACCTGGGGAAACGGTAACAGGCTGTTTTTCCTCCAAAAGAAGTCCTCGTTGGTCAGATCATAAGTCTTCTTCGTCTTTCCCTCATCCACAATGGTGATGCGCCTCTTCTCCATAGAGAGCACGTCTTGCACCAGGGACTGGTATGTCCAGGAATGCGAAAGCATTGGGAGAAGATCCACATCTCGGTCGAGAATGACCAACACAGGGCGTGATGTGGGTGTCGCTGATGTGTTTGACCGGGCGCTTGAAGAAAAGAGGTTGTCTTTCGAGTTGAGGATGTGGTCGCGCAGTTTCCGATCGAGCTTTGCAGATATCATTTCAGCAGCCGCTCCCTTAGGGCACCGAATGATGGGAATAACGCCTAGCTGACTGTTAGTTCACGCGTCTCGAGAATGGCACAGTGGACCCACCCATGGTCACGACAACGCTGAACAGCCGATTGACGATAGTGTCTACCAGCTCATCAAGCTTCTCGTCGGTCGTCTTGGCGCTGTTGAGCGCCGAGTATGCCTTTGGGATTCCCAGCCTGAAAAGATCAGGCTCCTCGACGATGAAGTTGAGGTATTGGTCGAAGAGTTGGGCAATATTTTCTGATGTTTCGGCAGCGGCAGTCTCTGCGGCGAAATCCTCCAAGGCTGCTCGCGGAATGCCTCCCAAACAATTGATCTGTGGGCTGGTCAGGGGTAAGATCTTCACGGACCTCGCAGCGTAAGACCTACATATGCTGGAGAGTAGAGCCCATTCTGTAGATCGGCAGTGATCTGCTTCATGTTCTGGGGCGTTGGCTCGACAAGATAGATAACGGGGACGTCTGGGATCGGGTGTCGCGAGGCGCCAATATGTCTATTCTGTGGTTAGCCCATAGCCATGACACAGTCGAGTGTCTGGAGAGCCACAGTACGTGTGGAGGGTAACGCCCAGAGACCTGAGGTTCTGGACCGTCAGGACAGAGCTGCAAACATCACGTCCGAGGTCGTCGAAGCAAAGGACCTTCCATATCGGTTCGCCATCTGCCGTGAGGATGGATGACGGTGCGATCGCGCTCACGTGGGATTCGTCGGTCTCGGTCGTATCAATGGCATCGTTCAGGTTCAAGATCTTCTTGAGGGAGGCTGCAATACGTTAGTGTCTCTCCAGTATCAAGGACAGTCCTAAAGCTCCAATGTACTAACAGATCTGGCGGTCCCTCAAGGAGGTGCCTTTAGATGCCATTGCAGATGGCGAAGGGCTATTGAGCTCCTGCTGGGGTTTGTGTGGTGATTGGTGTAGTGTGTGTCGCGCGTGAGAGGAGCTATCCTGATCGCCCCGATGCAGGAAGCGAGGATTATTGTGTGAAACTCGGCTGGCGCAGGATCGAAAAGCAAGGTCGGCCGTCAACGTGAACTGTGACCACGAATCGCAACTATTCGAGGCCAGGCACCTAGCTATCCCGCCTCTAGCCTCCGTGTTCTCAAGGTCGGACCCACTGAAACAACCCAGCCGTCAGTCATCTGCTTGCACAAGGGCGGGTGGGGTGAACAGCTGGATACACCGGTACAGCCTTTACCTGCATAGCGCCGGCCCACTCGTCTACAACCGGTGTCTTGCGGCGATCCGATATATGCGTTGCTGCCTGGCATATCGGGCAACAATCACCTTCCTGACCTCTGACAGTCATTGTCGGTGCGAAAGCGCGACCGACTTTTCCCCTTCTCACCAACCATCTCTTCTCTGTAAACCCGCGACGCCTTTCCATCAATACGTTCGCGGAAGCCATCGCGCGCGACAAGTCGACCTACACCGCGTCTAAAGGCTTGCTTCTGCTCGTATAAATTGATTCTTGCCGCGTCGTTTCCTGGCCACAGGAAGCTCTGGGAGAGTCGCAGAGAACTACTCATTCCCCCTCGACACGTACTTTCTGGCGCCCATCCAGCCGTCATCACACAGATCACGCGCGAATCCCTTTCGGCCCATTCATCCATCAACCCTCTTTTCTCGCGGTCGTTTCCTCTCTCCCTTAATTTTCTGCTATCAATCATGTCCGCTTCTGTAATGATTGCCATCAAATAAGAGGGAAAGCATTTGGGACTCGTCACGCGACCAGCTCCAGCAAAGGAAGTGCGCAAGAGCGCGATTTGAGTCGTTGGGAACAACGTTTGCAGGGTACGGTGACCTCCTCTCCCCGCTCGACTGACAATTGCCCTCATAACCCCCTCAAAACACTCTCCCATCCCCTTTCCCAAGCCCACCCGCAAAATCGCGTTTTCTGGCCGCTGAATGTGCTGCACCTCTCGACGGAGGTGCAGCATCGTCAAAATTTCCGTGAACAGCTTTGCATCTTGTTTGAGAGTCTCTTTGGTCTCTCGCACCCTGGGATCTCGCAGCTTTAATTGCAGGTTCAACATGAGGACGAGCCAGGCAGCCCAACAAGCTCGCGCTTGATACGCGAGGAGAGCAGGCAGGCTTCGCGAGTAGAACTGCCCTTTAAACTCGTCTGCAAAGTGCAAAGCAGGCAGGACGCGTTCGTTGGGCGGCAGCTCCAGGATCCAGTTGGCGAGGATCGGCCAGTGGTGTTGGTGGGGTGGCTCGCTGCGATCATGGAACCAGTCAAACACACACTACTGCTGCAGGTCGGAATTGACCCAGACACCGCTTTTCGTCCAGGGCTGGTATTTGCAGCAGGTTCTGCTTCGGAATTGTTCTGAAAGGGCTCGCTTTTAGTGCACCACATCAACTTCCGCTGGGGTCTTCGAGCGGATTTGACAGATGGCTGCTAAAAAGGCCGGCAATTACAGCACTCCTCGAAGAAACAGTTGCTTGTGGTGGCACTCATCAGCAACTCGGTGCGAGGAATACGCTCTGGTCAACCACCAGACTTGTTGGCCACGGGTTTCCACGACCGCAGCCTTTCTCCTTCCAGCGTCGTTCTCCTCGTCTTGGGAACACTGACTGCCTGCTGCGCTTACTTTTCCTCGAGCCTCTTCAGAACTGTGTCGGACCAATATGGACTCCAGTGCCGAATGCGATTCGCCGACTCTGCCTTCATTCTCCTTGCACTCATTCCTTCCCTCTTGCACAACTTACAGATCAAAGAGTTCTGTTCTAGCAGAAGCTAATCGCCTTTGTGCAGATTTCCATCCTACACAGAAAACAACCCATATAATCATTGACGGATTCCCCGTCGCTGGATTGCCTTTTCCTTGGTATGCAAACCCTCCACACTTGCCCCAAAAACAAAAAAGGTCCAAGACCCGAACTCTGTCCATGGTCGATCTTGAGGCCGCTGAACAGAATGCTGACGCTGCACCCTGCACTTTCAGGTACCTTCTCAGCAATTTGTAAGTGCCGCTGTACTTTGGATCCACCATACTCTCTCGCCCAAAGGCTGTCCGCGAGTTGCTCCACCTTTCCTGTTCCCGCTAGCCTCTTTCTCGCGCGGTACATCGTCTACACCTGTGCTGATTGGCTCTTACCCAGTCCCTCATCTGCAAATCATCTCATCCATCCCCATCCATCTGCAGAACCAATCAGAATCTTGTCTTTCTGGGCAATTGCTCACGTCAACTTCCATCAAGTTGATCCACGATGCAAGACTGGCAGAATACAGGCCAGACAGGCGCAGGCCAGGATCAGAACGCTCTCTGGTCCGATTCATACAACTACCAAGATGGCGCCAATCAATTCGAGAATGTCCAGAGCTGGTCACACCCGATGCCAGGGCAGGCTGCGTACTCCCAGCTCGGCTCCTCGCATCAGGGACAGCCAACCATCACCAATGATCACGATACCATGTCAACATTGAGCCACGGGGGGTTTCATCACGGCTCAAATCAGTTCGCGCTCGATGGATCGTACTCACAACCGGCACAAGACCAGTCAATGCAGGCTCTAGATAATTTCCATCAAGACATGTACAGCCAGCCTGCGAGTCTTGGCCAGCATCATAGCCAAACTCCCAGTAATGGCCATGGCCATCCCCAGCAGTTCTCTCAGGCTCCTTACCAGTACCAGGGGCAAGGTGCATCTGCCTACAACAGCCAGGTGCCGACATTTCCGGAGGCCCAATTGATAACCCAACAACGCCAGCAGAGCCACACGCCCATACAACAGCACCCGCAGTTTGATTTGAGGCCGCAAACATACTCTCCAGCGCAAGGCTTCTCTCAACCCCAACATCAACATCAACTCCAGCCACACCTCCACCAACAGCAGCAGCAGCAGCAGCAGCAGCAGCAGCAACGTCCTCTTCAACCCGACAGGGTATTCTCCGGCTCACCGCATCCTTACCAAGCCCAACCAATCGCTGCACAGCAAAGCACACACCAGAACGTCCAGGCTCTACCCAACCCACCACAGGTGCCGTATGAACAGGCCCAGTTCATTCCTCAGCAGCAAATGGGGTATTCTCATCCAAGCTCAACAGCAACCTTCCAGCCACTCGCCCGCCCACCCACCGAGCTGAAGCCACAGTCCCAACCTCAAGTGCAACACCAAGCCTCGGCCGGCTTTTCAGCTAGCCCTCAGCCGCTGGGCCAGCAATCCCTAGTAGGCGTTCCGTCCCCTCAGACGGTGTCGCAAGCTGGCTTTCAGGAGTCACTGCAGGCTGAGCAAGCAGCCAAGAAACGAAAGCGTACTGTGAAGAAGGAGTCAGAGCCAGAGTCCGCCGGTTCTCCACGGCCAGTAATCTTAAGAACAGCATTCGACAACACAGAGAGTCTCGTACCCCCCACAAGCACAGATGACGAGCTGGCCGCCGTTGTCCAATTCGCCAAGCGGCCTGCTGCTGCGAAAAAGGCTTTCCCTCTTGTACCCGGTGCACACTATCTCATATCGACGGAAACGGCTAAACTCCCAACACCCAAAAGCTACGACAGATTAGCTCCTCTTGTCGCGCTGCCATCACAGAGTGGCAGACGTATACTTCCTGGTGCCAATCATGAGCTCCCCTGCGAAATACAGGGAAAGTTCACAGACAAATACAAACCGTCTCTGAATTTTGTAGGAAAGCCGGAAGACAGAGAGAGAGAGGCGAAGCCATTCATCGACCAATACCAAAAGGAAATGAAAGCGCTTGGCAACCGGAAGCCTAAATATGCCGATTACCCCTTCACCTTCCAGGAGCAGCTGAAAGCCGACGAAGCTGCCAAGGCCAAGGCGCAGCGGAAGGCGCGGAAGGAGGAGGAAGAAGAACGCAAGAAGCCCATACGACCCGAGGTCCGTCCAGCAGACCCAGTAGAGGCTGCGGCCTGGGATGTGCTCGGCATCGTGTACATCGATCCATCTGCTGTTCGTACTAATGCCCTGATCGCTGGTGCTGTGCAAAGTCTTGGCGAGTTCTTCATCAAGTTGAGAGCCGCCATGACCAAGGCCAAGCAGGAGGTCGATCAGGCGGTCAAGGAGAAACGGCCAGAGAGCGAAGTGGCCCAACTGCAGAAGGTTGGTGAGCAGAAGAAGGACATGTTCGTAAAGGTCCTCGACGCCGCCCATAAACATGGCGATGATGCTGTAGTGGAGAACCTTGGCGGACATCAGAAGGGCGTTCTGAGCCTCGTGAATCTCTTGATCGGTTGCATCAAGGCGACCGACTACTCTGGCCCTCTACCCAAAGCCACACTTCGATTCATGTCTAATATCAACTTGACGAAAAAGGTTGCCGACGCAGTCAACTTTGAGACGGTTCGGAAGAGATTCGCAGACAAGGGTGACAGCGAGGTTAAGGAACTTATCAAGACAGTGGCATCTCGCATCAAGAAGGAAGAGCCCGTCAATGGAGCGGATGCCAAAAAGTCTGCCGCCAGTGCGCCTGTTACGAAACTTGTCAAACCTGGCGTCACCAGCAAGACGCCTGTTGCAGCATCACCCACAAAACGACCTCATGAAGACGACACAGACTCCCGCCCCGGCAAAAAGTTAAACGTCGAGGGAACAAGCAGTGTCCTCGGTGCCAAGGTTGGCACCAAGCCTCAGATGGGCACCAGCCTTCTCTCGAAGCTTGCCGGCACTAAAGCCCGTCCCGCGAATTCGTCTACTCTAGCTGGCAAGAACCGGCTACTCAACAAGACCGTGATCAAACCAGAAGGAAGCGTAAACAGCGCGACTGATGCCGCCAAGTCTGGGCCCATGCTAATGGATATTGACCGGGAGCCAAAGAAGGCAAAGCCTGAGCCTCGCGCTGCTCAGGCCAAGGCGACCGCATCATCCAGCGCTCTCTCGAGCATCGGTTCTCTTCTCGA